CTCTATCTCTCATTTATTTCGCCACCCTAACGAAACAACATGTTATTATTTTAGCATTATATCTTTATATACGTACTTCTTATTTTTTTCGTCGCACCCTCAGCATAAAGGGACATTAATTTAATAGAAGAACCCATCCCACGCGAAAAATTATTATTTTCGCCAACATCCAAAGTAGGGCGGAATTTGAGACGAGGCAAGATCAAATTTAATTTTATGTTGTTTTCAGCGCGTTCACCGAACGCCCTCCACTTTCCTCATTGACAGTAATTTACATTACACTAATTTTATTCTTCTCGTTCTTCATATTTTCAACGCTTTGCTTTTTTTTTCCTCGGCACGTCGTAAATTGAATACAGTCTTCATACGAATATTTATTAGCATACTTAATTATCCATGAAACATTAATGAACGAATTTTTACATCAAAACAAGATTTACTAAAAGAATATATAAATATAAAGATTTTTTTAAATTTTTTTATTAATATATTTTTTTATTAAATTATTTTAAATTATGCCAAATTGTTATATACAATTGAAATACATTATTTTTGAAAATTTCGAGGTAATTATTAATAACTGAAAATAATATTCTTTAATTTATTTTATTTACTGAAATAAATTGAAAATTTCAATTGAAGATATTTCAATTTATTTGCTTACAATTTTGTACATACATATTCATGTGAAAGTCAGTATAGGTTTACGGATTGTGATTCAATAATTATCTTAATTGTGTTTTGCTTCTTGAAATATATATTCATTACGTAAATAATACAGTGCTGCATCCAAATTGAAATTGCTAATTATTACATGGAAAAACTATAAGAACATATGTTTATACAATTATTTTTACTAATTACTACTTATAATTTATAGGCTAAAATATAGATAAAACGAACAAATTAAAACAAAAAATAAAATTTAGAAAAATAAAACAAATATTATAAATTGAAAAATGAACACCGAAATGAAAAATAAAGCAAGGTTAATAATAAATTATTACTCAAAATAAAATATATTCTACATAAATGAAGAAGAATGGACTTTTCGCCTTGTTTTAACTATTAAATTTAAATTAAAATAAGTTTATGTAATTTTAAAGAAAGTTTCAAAAACATTTCTATAAATGACACATTCATAATTATCGCAAGAATAAACCAAATTACTTTGAAAAATATCTATTTTTACAATAATATAACGTACTTTTTTATGTATTAAATGTATTAGTTAAATATACATTTGTAACATTAATATTTATGAATGGATTTCTTGCTTTTATTACACTAACTTTGTGATTGTTATCAAATAAATAATTAAGTATATTTTTAAATATTCGGGACATTTAATTTAATGTACAGAAATACCTCTATTAGTATGGATTCAATAGAGCCCGGTTTGAAAATTTTAGAACAAAATAAACATTAATTAGTACACTTTTTTTTTTTATAAATAAGTGATCTTTTTTTCTTTAATTAAATAGTTTATTTTTTATGGGATTTTAATGTCTTAGTTCGGTTTCAAACAGGCGGACTATACGAAGTAATGCAGTTGAATGTTAATATATGACTAAAATTGTAAATTGACCGTTTTTATTTGGGAAATATTGAGATTTTATTTATATTTTATTATGTATCTATACGTATCTTTTTTTAATTGAAAATTCACTCAAATTGTTAAACCATTATCACATCAAATAATTTTTGAATTTTGAAATCAATGATACTCTCAAATGTAATTTAGAAAATATATCATTGTGACAAAGTGTACGTTCATGATAACGAATAGACACTCGTTTATAGAATATATAAATATATATATTTATACGAGATTAAATAGTCCGTTTAACACTCATTCGTTTAACGTGCTGTATTAAAATTTTGTTTTTAATTAATGAATATTTTAATTAGTAAAAATCATTTTTAAACAATATTATGCAATCAAATTAATTACTTTAATTCTTAAAGTGTTTATTCAAATGTAATTTATACAAAAAATAACAAGGTGAAGAGACAGGTGATTAGTTCGGTTTCAAACAGTGCGGTATATTAGTGGAACCAGACTATGCGAGATATTGCAGTTGAATGTTAAAATGAATATGGATTTTATAAATAATTATTTTATATTTTGGATTTTAAATTATTTAAAATTAATACAGTAAAAATAATTATTTTATAATTCAATTGGAAAAAACACCCAAGATTTATTTATTTAATTGAATTTTAATCAACCGTAAATTCGAGGAAAACAAACAAAAATATCCTGATGAAATATCTAAGAGGAAATGTATCAAATTTTAATTTTCGACAACAAAAGAAAACAGCGAATGTGTCGAAAGATTGAAAATGCAACGCTTTTCCCTTTTCTGGTTGTTTACAATTCCACCACAAAGGAATCAAATATTGTTTTTGCCGGAACCGCGGCAGAATAATTAACATCTTCGGTTTTGCTCCGCGAATTTAATCTGCTGGTGTTTGCTGAGGAGGAAATTGCATGTTTCAATTTGCTTTCGTGAATAAGTAAATCCCTTTAAAAAAATAAATAAAATAAAAAAATAAATAATTCATAAAACGGTAGGAAATAAGGTGCGACAAAAGATTTTTTTGCACAGGTACAGGAGTGAAAGAGAGAAAAAAACGTAACTCGCTAATGGAAATTATTGATTTCGGTAATGCATCGGTTTGTACCAAAATAGAAAATAAAAAATAAAATAAAATTGGATGATGAACTGATCATGTACTGGTTGTAGTGCGAATTAATTATGGATTAGTGGACGAATTTTGTGTGTATTAATGATGAGGTGGGTTTTTGTGTATTCTGTGCTGATGGTGTTCGGTGCGGTGTGGACGAAGAACCATCATAAGCATCGAAATAAACTGCAGCTGCATGAGCTTCTTGAGGTGGATAATTATAGAGAGGATGGGGATTCTCAGGAGACGCAGCATCACAGGTTGAGGCATCATCATGGTGAAACTAGTTTGGAGATACCTTGGCCTGTGAAGAAGGAAGCGATAGTTGAAGGAGATTTGATATTAGGAGGTTTGATGATGGTCCATGAGCGTGAGGATTCTGTAACTTGTGGACCGGTGATGCCTCAAGGCGGGATACAAGCTTTGGAAGCTATGCTCTACACGTTGGATAGGTTGAATGATGGTGTGACCATTCATCGATTCTTACCCAATATCACGCTCGGAGCGCACATCCTTGATGATTGCGACAAGGACACTTATGGATTAGAGATGGCCGTGGATTTTATTAAAGGTAAGGTTTTCTTTTTTTGGTTGACGCTTTGAAACTAGTTAGTAAACTAAGATCCATTAGCTATGCACAATATTATTACACGATTTTGCCTCGCTCCAATTTGGGTCGTTCTTGTTGTCCTTACCGAATTTTATTACATAATTAAATTTGTATTTACCAACAACTAAAATGGATTAACAAAGGAGCCGGCGAGGGTGGGCAGAGTTTTCGTTACCTTGTAATTAAGGGAGTTTCTTATTAGTTTTAGATTATCCCACTAATCTCTATTTCATTCATCCTTTAAATGCAGCTTATATAACAAATTTAAACTTATACTTAAAAATCCAAAATTAAAAAATATATGCTATGTACTAAATTATCTTTTTAATCAGCACAAATAGTTTTAAATTAGCGTAGATTACGTAAATTACTTTTCTATTAATTTTATTTAAATAATAAACTTAAATTCATAATTATTTAAAAAAAATGTGCTAAAATTACTAAATATAAACGAAATAGTTAAGTAATTACTCTTTATTTAAGATTTTGTAACTTTTTTTTGTAACTTTTTTTAATGATTTTTCAAAAATTAAAATTAAATTGTACCACGATTATTAAAATTACTCTCGAATATCTTTAGTTAAATCATTCCAATATAAACGAAGAAAATACGCAATTTTTTTCAATATATTTTTCGAAATAAAATTATACCACAATTATTCACGCCAATATTCAGTTAATTCATCTTAAATATAAAACTTCAATATTTAATGTTTCCTCAAAAGTTCTTTTTTTTAAGTAAATTATATTTGGTGCAGTAATATGAACTTACTAATTGTGTTTTTCATTAAGTAAATTCAGATGAAATAGATCTATGTAATAAAATTAAACTTTTATTATAAAATTTTTAGTTAATTAGTTTTATTGTTCAAACTTATTAATAATAACAAAAAAGGTCAGTTCTCATTGTTAATTAGTTTAAAATTATTAATAACAACAAAATTAATGTCATATTAATTGAAATGAATGCAAATCTCTTTATTAATTAGTGTTTAACTTAACTTTAGTTATTTACTTCAAACATATTTTTTTTATTATATAATCGATGCTGAGAATATTTATTTTTTAAGTTTAGGCTTTCTAGAAAACATGGATATTTTCTATTAAAAAAATAAAATCTTAATATTTTTATATTACGTTTCTGATTTCCATTTTTTTAGTATATATTTATTAGTAACAATTAAATTACACCACGAACTTGACATTATATAACTTTTATACTGTGATTAAATTAGAATCTGTTCTGAATTTAACAAGAAACATAAAACAAATTGCTTGAAAATAAATAAAAAATATTTGTACGTATTTAATCAAGAATTATTCTACATAATGTATTAATTAATGAGCGAAAAATTACAATACATTTGTTTTCTTCGATTTTTTATATGTATTTTTCTGTCAAATAAGAAAATGTATTATCAAGACATAATTGAAACATCATTAGTTTTTTCATTTTTTTGAAGTGTTCATATTCTTGTTATAAAATTTATAAAATAGAAAATTCTAAAATGTCAATTATGAAAACATTAATAATATAACATATAGATAAATGAAATGAGAAAGCAATGCAGTTTATAGAATTGATATGTTTTATAAAATGAAAAGAAGAAAATTACATTTTTTTTCTTGAAATATCCGTTACAAATTATCTTTTCCAATATATTTACGTGAAAAATTGATCTATTTTTTTATTAGAAATGTTATTTTTTTAATAATATATGAATAATTTGACACATTTTTCTTTTGATGCTATTTTTATAATGATATTGTTAAAGAATAAATGAATAAAATTGATTGGTAAACACGTATTTTTTTATACTAATTATATAACAATTAGTGAGTAATTGTTAGATTACTTGGATCAAGCGACGAGGGAGATATTAAGGGAATCAAGCTTTGATTAGCGTTTTCCGATCAAAGGAATGTGAGAAATAATGAGCCGTTCGCCTTTCAGAAGATTAATTAGTGATGTTGTTCGAGATTAATTGAGAATTGTATTTCATCTTCCGAATACTCTACTATCAATATCTCAACAAAATTTACCTGAGAAGAGAAGCTTTGGTAAATATTTTTCTTCTTTAACCCGTTACTATTAACAAAAAAATAAACACAAGTATGGGTCAAAATGACACGTTTATTAAGTATTCAATAAATAGAACAAATTATTTTTTACAACAAACACAGATTAATTCATATTATTTAATGAAATGAACATAATTTAAAAATCTACACCTAAAAGGGGTCATTTTATCGGATATCTTTACAATAAAATGCATGTACTAGAAAAACTACAAATTACAATAGATTGCGAATGACGGGAAATATTAGGTGGGTCATTCTGACCCATTGCTAGTACTTACGGGTTATATCATAAAAACTACGTTGACACTAATTATACTATTTATTTCAATACGTAAATTAAAAAAAGTCTATGTATTTTATTCAATATAGTTAATGTCAAATACTATTCCGTAGAAGAGCACTTTATTTCGGTAAACTTTGTAACGACTAGCGTGTAGCAAAATTAAAAAGTTCATTCTGGCTTACTTCTTTTTTTTACGTTCACCATGAAAACGGGAGTTTAGTGAATGGTGACGGGCGTAAAAATGGAATTTTCGATAAAGTTTAATGGGATTTTAGCAGGGCGATTCGATTCGGTTCGGAATTCGTATTTCACACAAGTTTCTTTGTAAAAATCCTGTGGCCAGAATGCGTTAGCTTCAACGAACATTCACAATTGATATTATTGATGTAAACTTTGTAATTTATATACAATTGGGTTTTTTTCTCTCATTTTAAGTTATTATTGAATTATATTCGGATTTTACAAAAAATAATAATACATTTTAATTGATTAGATTAATTTGAATTGTTTTTAATAATCAACAAATATTGCTTAAATTTTGTAAACTGTCAAATATATGATGGACGCCATCTATCGGTCATATTAACTATTAACTTTAAATATGCTACAATTTTAAAGCAATTTTAATATATCAATGATAAAACGTTGTATTATAACTATAGAAATCTGTTGTTTCTATTTTTGTTGTCAAAAAAAATATATTTTTTTCTAATGAAAGAATTGGTGAGCATTAAATAAAAATATAATCTGTAAATATGTGTGTTCACTAAAAAATGTCATATTTTTTGTAATTTTACAAAAAAATACAATTTCTATCAACAAATATTGCTTAACTTTTGTAAGCTGGCAAACGTCAAATACATTAAGTACGCCATCTATCGGTACTAATTTTATATATGCTATAATTTAACTATAATTTATAACATTTTCAATATATAAAAGACACATTTTTATAACTATTTTTAAAATAAAATCCTATTTAAAAAAATATATTATTTTTCTTTTTTCTCCTCAATAAAAATGTAATTTTCCTTAACAAACTTGTTTAATATTGCTTGTTATAATAAATAAATAAAATTATGTAAGGAGAAAATAAAAATGTAAATAATAAATAGAAAATTCATTCAATTAAATAGTTTATTAAATAGAGTTTTAAAATGGGAACTAAATGATAAGTACGTTTTGAAAATAACATTATTTTCATTGAGTTTTCCATTCGATTTTGTATTAACAAAGATTGATGATAAAGTATTCACGAGTTTGCTGATGCTCTTGGAAAAATAAGCTCGTTCCATTTACGTTTGGAGATTTTATGTTTTAAAGATGCTGTCTGTCTGCATCCATGAGGTTTTTGAGAACAAGGAGGAAAAGAAAAAAGTATCAGGAATTGCGGAGACGCGAACCGAAAGGGCGGAAAAGTAGATTTTCAAAGGTTTCGCATCGCCGTAAAAGTGACGATTATTTTGCATTGGTAGACTATCAAACGTGCATAAAACGTATTCACTGGTAAACGGTGAAGAAAATGCTGCGTGAATTTTCCCATTTACACTATTGATTTTTATTGAGTAATTACCGCAGTAATGTCGGCATGCTTTTTTCCATTCGGGTTTTATTCCATTGTGCAACGACAATAAATTTAATGAAAAAAAAAACGAACGAAGTTTTATGTGATCGGGATTCTTCGGCAAAATCAATTGATTTTGTGGTGAATGGAAATAATGTGTTTTTTTATTCCACTTTTATTACAATGTGTCCAAAATATTAATGTTCACTGATTTTATGACCTTTATTGTTAGTTATTTTTTATATTAAATATATTAAAAACTATACTTTATTGCTATATGAAACAGACGTGTAAAATTGGTATTGTTTTTTTTTATGTTTTCATTGATTTTACATAAAATTACAAATTTTATTAATGAAATTTGATTAAAAAACATATATAATTTATAGATTAATACAATTTGTCATCCCTAATACCCAATAAACTCAGCATTTATTTTATTACACATATTTTCTTCATTCACAAATTTATATGAAAAAATACTCAAGATTTTCACGTTTGTCTATATTTGTTTTGTAACAATAATAATGTTTATTGCTTCAGTCGTACAAAAAAAATATACAGAAATAAAAAGAACAAAATAAATATATATAATTTCAAAAAAGTTAACCGATACAAAGGGCTATTGACCATAGGTCTTTCAGCCCAGATTTGTAAAATTTAAGATAAATAAATAATTAGAAATTAATTCATCATATAGGTGAGAGATTGTATTAAAGTTTTCTTTAAAAAAGTTATGTAAACATTATTTTTAATTATTTTAATGAATCAATCACATGCTTCTCAATTTATCTTCGAGTTTTAACGTGAAAATCAAGTTTTTAGATACAAATCATAACACGTTCGGGATTGCTATTTGTGTTTTCCATTTGAATGATGAAAATTTTCAATATTGGAATTTCTTTCTGACTATGTATTTGTAAATAGTGATATGTGTTTGTCTGTACAATTTACTTGGATTCAAGTCACTAATAGATTGGTTTTAAACATATTACCATGCAAATATTTAAAATTTCTACAATTTGTAACTTT